AAATGCAAAAATTCTTTGAGAGGCTATTTTCTCACTTCACCCAAGGATAATGCATTTAACTAGTACCAGATGGATGCCCAGGAGAGAAGTTAATTCATTATAGACAATGGATGTCTTGGGAACTAAGGGCTCAGTTCGACAGGGAAACCCTCTTGGGAAGGATTATCATTTATCCATACACATGTCTGTCTCTGTAAGAGACTGCGGAGTCTAAAAAACAGCAATAAAGTGTCTGAAAATAGGGTTTTGGTAAACATTTATCAGATGAATATGCCCTATGGAGACACACGAACTTGTAGACTTCTCTACAACTCTCGCCAGCCGGAGCCCCACGTGACTCCAGATTCTTAGTAATGGACTCTTTGATGACGGGTATTAGATCAGTGCTTCTCTTTTTCCTCTTAGGAAGAAGGGGCATCAGAGAACTCCCAAGAGGCAAAACTGTGTATCTTCTCAGGAAAACAGAAGAGCACATTCACAAGTGCATTGTGTGTATAACTGTGTATATAGTTCCAAGGGCTCACAGGCCCTCTCTGGAAGTCTGTGACCCTCAGGTTAAGAACCCCTATACTCGATTCTTAGAAATTAGACTCAGGGCGCCTGGGTGGCTCAGTCGTTAAACGTCTGCCTTCAGCTCAGGTCATGATCCCAGGGCCCTGGGATCTGGCCCAGCATCTAGCTCCCTGCTCGGCAGGAAGCCGGCTTCTCCCTCTCCCACTCCCCCTGCTTGTGTTCCCTCCCTCGCTGTGTCTCTCTCTGTCAAATAAATAAAATCTTAAAAAAAAAAAAAAAAAGTAATTAGACTCAAATTAATGCCCAAACCTAACCAGCCAAGTTCTATTTATTTGGCAAAAACAGGAGCAAAGGGGGCAGACAGACTTGGGTTTTGACCCAGGTTTTATTGTTTGCTAGCTGGGTGAGGTTGGAATAAGTCAAATCGCCTTTCTCAGCCTCAGTTTCCTCATCTGTAAAATGGGTTAACAGTAGTTGCTAATTCCATTCAAAGTCAGGAGGCGATGAGTAAACACATGTGCTTGGCACAGTGCCCTGTACACCATAAATGGAGGCCATCACCACCTCCCCTCTGGTCTGCAGATTCCACACTTAAACCTCCCACTCCCATCTGCATCTCCATTCAGCGCTGCATTAACAGCTCCCGTGGGATCTTAGAGAACAGGGCAGAAAATAAGAGACCCTAAGAATTCATAAGGTCATAAAACACAGCCCTAATGTTTTCTCCCAAATCAAACGCTTGTTTTAACCTATGAAGGCCCTTCTGACAAGACAGTCGGCAATCTCTTTCTGTGTAAATCCAGGTCAGCTGCCAGCACACATTGTTCTATGAGGCCAAGTCAATTTTTAGAGGCAGGCCCGTTAACTTAAAACGGAGATGAAAAGAAAAGTGTTTGATCAAATACTGAACTGCAGAAACACACTGACAGGGAAACAAGGCAGAGGAATTAGTTTCCTAAAATTATTCCCTGTGATGCCCTTAGTTAATACTGGATATTTAAGGATGCCCTCAGCCCTTCTAACCTGCCACCCGGCTTCCACCAACCCCTCACAGCTAAAGGCACTGGCTTAGTTCTTAAATGTTCTCAACTTTCCTCTGCTTTCAAGACCATTCAACACTTATCCCAGGATACAGAAAGGCCAATTTTAAAGTTACACAAAACCTATCATTCAGCGTCCTTCTACAAATGAATTTCTTTAAGCATTTCTAAATATTTGACTTCAAGGGGGAAAAATGCTTTTCCACTTTAAACCAATCTTTCATCTCTAGCGATGCAAATTTTCTTTGTTTGTTTAACCAATCCACATACCACTGGCCAGTGCTTAATCAGGCCTTTATTTAACATCACTAACCATGTGAGTTTCACAGCCAAGTCTGCAAGTTTCAGATAATGATCTCATAATAGCAACAAATTGGTTCAAAGCTGAAATATGTATCAATATGTCTAAGAGCACTTTAAAGTTCCACACTTCAGAATGACAGAGCTGTAATTAATTCCTCCAGCACTCCCACTCTATGCCTGACATTTAGGAGCAAATGGACTTCAGTGCTGCATGAATAAATAAGATAATTAACAGCATTTCATATCCACACACTGTTTCCACTACTTTCACAGATGAAGATGTCAAAAAAGAAAAAAAAATCTCTCTTCTTAAGAGAGCACACTGGTGACCTTGGAAAAGTTATTTAAGCCTAAAATGCACAAGGAGAGAACCAAAAATCCTGGTGACTAATCCCAAGGTTTGAATTACTATCGCTCTTGCTCTCGCACTCTCTCTCTCTCTCTCTCAACCAGGCCTCCCTTCCCCTAATCCATGCAAATGACCAACAGGTACTCTAATTAGAAGTATCTGGGGCAAACCAGACTGTGATAAGGTATCTTCTGTCACTGTATGTAATGGGGAGGGAGGAAAAACAGTCATGCAAACCAATTTCCTATCTTAGAACGCTTAAAGTAAAGAAACTCCCAAAAGGGTCTTTTTCTCCCCTTAACCATGAACAACAGCACTACCGAACCCCACTGGAAATAACACAAGCAATGCTTCAGTGTCACTGTTTAGGTTTAGTTATTGGAAAATGAACTCAGCTCTGAAGATCATAAGAGATTAAAGAGCAAAACACGCACGATTATTTTAAGATAGCAAATAAAAGGTTTGAGAAGTTCAATAAAGTGCTTACGAAAAAACATGATTAATCTGAAGCTGAATATCAATTTGTTTCTTCTACATTGTCATTTTTCATACAAAATGTTACATTTCCTCCCAGCAGTCCTGAAACACCAGCTTCCCTTACAAAATCATTTTTCAGGGCTGACAGGGACCACGCCAGTTACTTCAGTTCGAGCAGTATTCGAAGAACTAATAAAAGCGTGCCAGCCTCTGTACGCACATGGCCCTGAGAGCCACGCTGAGCTCCGTTTCTGCACTTGAGAGGTTCAGCAAGTAGGCCCCCACAATAAAGTTATTAAAGATATGGAGTAAGAACAGCAAGAAATGACTATTCAGACAGCTCAGATAAACTCACCAACACACTGTGCAGTATAAAGGAATTAAGGACACCTATTAGTGATTGCTTAACAGTTCTACTTATTAAATACCATTTAAGCCATTTTTCTTTACTTAGCAAGTGTTGACTTAATTTGGGGGGGGCACTAAGCTAATGGACTGCAAAAGAGTTAGATAAGCACTTCAAAAAGATTCAAAAGAGAACAGATTCCTTCTGCCAAATTCATACATTCCCGCTCTACTCACAAGGATAAAATAGCTACAAATGGTGTGTTTAAACTGCTAATTTTGAATTAAACGGTGAACCCAGGATTATCTCAAAACCCAGCACTAACCATAATGGATAGCCCGCCAGACAAACTACGGTGGAGAAAGAGTACAAGTTAAAACACTGCAGATAAAAATCGCAAACTTCAAAAGTCTCCTTCAAAAAGTGAAGTGCCACATTAAAACATCTTTTCTCTTAGAAAGCTGTAAATCAAACATTTCTAAAGCCATCAGGGCACAGTGAAAGCCTCAAAGAGAAACAAGGAGCTACAAGGAGCAGGCTTTAAGATTCAAACTATTCTTGAAGACCGCCACTAAAATGTGTAGGAATCTTCAGTAGACCATCTTCTCTAAAGCTTATAAATTAAAGACCATAGTTATAACAAGAGCAAGGAAAAAAGTCCAAAGCCTTTAACATATGTAGTCACAGGACTCAAATATGTGTTTCCCCTTGTATTTACCCTGCAGAAGTTTAAGATGGGGATAAGAGCCCTGTGAGGCAATGCTGCTGATTAATGCCTGGCAAGGGTGCCTCCCCCATCTTTGTAAGGACACACCTCTAAGGAGCCAAGCTGCACAGCTCCCTGTCCTATACACACAGGGCTGAGTATGCACCACCGGAGGGGAAAGGAAGAGGCTGCCATGCAATCATCCGTACAGTTCCCCTCTTTTCATTCATAAGTCATCCAAGAGTAAAGCACAGAAGGCCCCAAGCTCAGAGCCCTGCAGCCATCCCATCACCTCCAAAAAGGCTCCAATCAAGCCAACCATTTCAAATCGCCCGCATCCGAAGCATGCATATTAACCGCCATAAGTGCGCTGGCAGTCTACTAACAAGTTGATAAAATCATAGCCAAGGAAGCGGGAAGGCATCTACCCAGCTCAGCAACCGCAGAGGCTTCAACTCAGTCCCTCCTCCAAAGTGTAGGCACGGCTTAAAAGCTCTGCCTCGCCAGCTCCCTTTGGAATGCAGACCTCTCTCATTGGGAGCAAGGTGGGGAGGCCCTGTCAGTGAGCGACCCTATCTCCCGATTTCCAGGCCCTCCGCAGAAGTCCTTGGCCCAGGAGCGGGCAGGCAGTCTCCCTCCCACCCTCTGTAATCTGAGGCACGCAGCGAAGGCTGCCTTCTCCGGCCACTCCAGGGCACTAGCGATCCCCACTCCTCGGCCAGCTCCCCCTGCTTCCCTGCCTGCTGCTGCATGTCCAGAGCCCTGCAGGGGGGTCAGCGCCCAGGTGAAGCTGGCGGCAGGCTCCAGGAAAGAACCTAATGTGCAGTCCGCGGACAAACCTGGCTACTACTCTCAAAAAGAACACGCAAGGATGGAAAGCAAAGCCTGTGACCTGAAACAAGCCACCCCATCCTTCATCACTCTTCTTTCCAAAGTTGGCATTCAACAGGTAGTTCCAGGACTTCCACCTGAGGCAAACCGAAATGCCCAACCGGCCCAAGGGGGCCGCCCCAACGTGGGTATCCGGACCCGAGGTCCCCCTCCCGCCCCCCGGACCCACAGGAGACAGAGTCCCCACGTGCACTCGCCCCCCGCTGCTGCGCCCTGGAGGCCGCGTCCCGCCCGCCGGCCGGGGAGGGATGCAGCCGACCTCCTCGCCGCCCCTCCCGCCCGCCCGCCCGCCAGCCCGCGGCGGGGTCGGCGGGCGCAGCCCCCGGAGCCATCTTGTGGCTGCGGCGGCGCGGGGCCCGGGCGGCGGGCAGCTACCTGCACGATCTCGCCCTCCGCGCTGAGCGTGGCCCCGGCCCGCGAGAAGCGGCCCGTGAGGCCGGTGGTGTAGGTGGTGTAGTCGCCGCTCGGGCTCGACTCGAACAGCACCACCTCCACAAACGCCGTCTCCTTGGCCCGCGCCGCGCCGGGCCCCGCGGCCGCCAGCAGCAGCCCGAGCAGCAGCGGCAGCGGCGGCGGCGGCGGCAGGCGGCGGCCGCGGGGGCCGCGGGGGCGGCGGGGAGGCGGCGGCGGCGGCGGCCCGGGGCCCCTGGGCGCCCGCCCGAGCGCGGCCTCATGGTCCTGCGGCGGGAGGGCGCGGAGGGCGGGCGCGGCCGGGCATAGTCGCGGGCCGGCGGAGGACCGAGCGCGGGCGGACGCCTCACAGCCCCATCGCGGCGGCGGCGGCGGCGGCTTTGTGGGTCGCAGGCTCGGCTCGGCTCCCCCGGCCGTCGCGCCGCGGCCCTTTCATCTGCTCCACGTGAGGGGTTATCCCCGCCCCGGCAACGTCGTGACCCGCTCTCCCCTCCCTCCCCGCACTCGACCGCCGCGGCCGCCGGGGGGAGCGGGAAGGCGGGGCGGGCGCGGCGGGGGGCGGCCCGAAGGCCGGGCACGCCCCCGAGCTCGCTCCGCCCCCTCGTCCCAGCCCCGCCCCTCCGACGACCGCCTGCGCTCCACCCCATTGTTCTCGCTCCGCCTACCGTCTTGCTCCGCCCCATTGGCCTCTCTCCGCCCCTCCCCCTTCATCTGTACCCCGCCCCCTCATCCTCGCTCCGCCCCCACGCTGTAGCCCCACCCCTTCATCCGCGCTCCGCCCCCAGCGGCAGACATTTCTCGTCGCGGTTGCCAGAGTTCGGCGGGAACCCGGACAGCATCCTGCTGCCAGGCGACTGCGTTCTCTCTGGAGGCTCCACGCCTCCTGGTCCCGTGCGGTAGTTAGGGCCTTGTCCTTCCCGGCTCTGCGGCCCCAATCCACAGTTCCCGGGAGCCCGCACCCGGCTCTCGACCCTCACCCCCCGCCTCTGGGATCGAATGGCAGATGCCCGCGCGGGTCACAGCCGGTTGCAGCTCAGCCATGCCTCTCGAGACGCGTCTGATTCTTGCCCCAGTGTCGCTAAGACAGTTACTCAACTTGGGGGGCTGAGGTGGGAGCCTTTTAACCATGGGATTCTGATGGACTTCATCCTTCTGCAGCCCAGAAGCTGTAACTCAAACACCCGCCCAAGAGGGTTCCGGAACTTTGAGTCTCTCCGTGTGCAGAAGGCCAGAGTATTCCAATACCATCAGTCTTTATGCACAGAATGATGGCTGCAAATTTAAAGTAGCAAATACATGCTCCAGGGCCCAGGGGGTCCCCAGTCGCCCAGGAGATAAACTTTTCAAGTCCCCGCCCCCCTTTGGAAAGTGCCTTTTCCGTCCTCTTCTAGTCCTATGAAAATCAAACTCTTCCCTCAAAATTGAGATTCAATTCCCACTTCCTCCGTGGACTTTTCCTTCTCTCAGCAAAATGGCTTTCTTCAGATATCCGCAAATAATTTGGTTAGGATGATCTGCTTCTATTTGCTACCACACCCAAAATACTAAAAAGACGAAAAGAGGGACGCCTGGGTGGCTCAGTTGGTTAAGCAGCTGCCTTCAGCTCAGGTCATGATCCCAGCGTCCTGGGATCGAGTCCCGCATCGGGCTCCTTGTTCTGTGGGGAGCCTGCTTCTCCCTCTGCCTCTGCCTGCCATTCTGTCTGCCTGTGCTTGCTCGCTCTCTCTCTCTCTCTCTCTGACAAATAAATAAATAAAATCTTAAAAAAAAAAAAAAGACGAAAAGAAAACTCAATGAGTGTTGTCTTGGGTAAACAATTTACCAAGGTTACATTTTAAAGTAGAAAAAAAATGTTTGCAAAATGTGGAATAGAAAATACACTCGAAAAAAATCCACTAATCTTCATTGCCACATTTGGACCACCCAGAGTTTCTGCTCAGGAAACTCCCCCTAGATGGAACAGTCCAGTCATTAAGGGGGAAGTCCATTACTACAGCCCACCTATGACACTTCACAGTATTTGAAATTCAAAGTCACCATCAACTGATGAACGAGTCAACAAAAACAGTATATCCCTACAGTGGAACAAAGCACTGGTACTGGGCTACAATATGAATGCACCTTGAGAACGTTTGGTCAGTGAAAGAAGCCAGTCACAAAGGACCACATGGTGTATGATTCCATTTAGATGCAATGTCCAGAATAGGCAAATCTACAGAGAAAGAAAGTAAATTAGTGGTTGCCTGAGGCTGGAGGGAGGCAGGAATGGGTAAGTGACTGCTAACGGGTTTCTTTTGGGGGTGATGAAAATGTTCTGGAATTAGATAATGCTGATGGTTGCACAAGTCTGTAAATATACTAAAACCCACTGAATTATACACTGTAAAAGGATGAATTTAATGGTTTGTCAATTATATCTCAATACAGTTGTTTAAAGAATTTCAAAGTCATTAGTGGTATTTTCATGAAAACACACACACACATACATACATACGCAGATTACTGTGTAAGGCTATTCTCTGCCCTTTGAAGGCTTAGTTCAAATATCACACCCTCAGGACCCAGGCTGCTATATTTAAAATGACAGTGTGCCCCCTCTCCCCAAATCCCAATCTTCCTTGACCTGACCCCCGCTCCCCACCCCTGTGGCATTTATCACCTTCTAACATACTAAATGATTTGCTTACTTATTTTTGTCTCTCTTCCACGCCCCAAATACACACATGCCAGAGAGCAAACTCTATATTGGCAAGGATCTTGTCTCGGTCACTGACTTAGGCCAAGGCTGCCTGGCCCAGAGTAGGCACTGAATACATATTTGTTGCATGAATTAATGACTAAATGAATGAGTGATAAGCTCATCATTTTTGTATCCCTCCCATTTTTCAGACATTTGGGGCAGCCTGTTAACTAACAGCTGCTTAGGAGCACTGGACTTCTTGGGACCAAAATAAATTCCGAATGTGGAGAAGAGCAACAGTCCTTCCCCTCTGCAACAAAAACCCAGACACGGGTCAAAAAAGAAACCGACTTCAATTTTTAAAACTCTGTTTAAAGAAATACATGGTCAATAAAACACAGGCCAGCGACACAAAGGTAACACAATTCATCTCTCACCCGTTGTAAAGTTGTTTAGGAATGGAGATACTTACTGAGTAATGAAGTTTTACCAAAATCTGATGGGCAGTGAGGGGAGATAGGAAATAACTTCAAATAAGAGATAAGAGCCATTGGCTAGGAGCTAGGACTGGATCGAGTGATAGGAGTGAAGAGAAGTCAAACCCATTCATTATTTTTTTTTTAAGATTTTATTTTATTTTATTTGACAGATAGAGATCACAAGTAGGCAGAGAGGCAGGCAGAGAGAGAGAGAGAGGAGGAAGCAGGCTCCCTGCCGAGCAGAGAGCCCGATGCGGGGCTCGATCCCAGGACCCTGGGATCATGACCCGAGCCGAAGGCAGAGGCTTTAC